ACAGGCCTTTCTACACCTGTAAAGAGTTACTCTTGGAAACTCATAGGGGCAGTTCTACCCTGTCGTACAGGGTCATTTTAAGTTGGAATTGATTGATGGCATTGAGTTTGGTGTGGGTTTCTTGTTTGTTTTTGGTAGAGAGGATTTTTGGAAGACTGTAAAGAGTTCAAATATCCCCAGAAGTACCTTGAAGAAAAAAAAGAAAGAAAAAAACCCCCCAAAAAACCAAACTCACTGTCAATAGTCAATTCTGACATTTTGAAATCCCATAGGACAGGGTAGAAGCATCCCAGTGGTTTTCTGAGAGATTGTAACTCTATACAGCAGTAGAGAAAACCTACTCTCTCTTTGCCAGAGCAGCTAGTGGTTTCAAACAACTAACCTTGTGGTTAGCAACCCAATGTGTAACCACTATACCCTGAGGGTTCCCTTCTTGAAAGAAAGGCCTGATCTAAAAACCTTAGAGCGTACAATTCGACTGCGACACACAGGAGTCTAAACTGACTTGACAGCAGATGGTTTTGTTGCTGTTGTGATTATAAATTCAAGTAATGCAAAAATGGCCCTGGGGTTACACTGAATATGATGACAGATGAGTATATATTTAAGTGGCTTTCATTAGAAATAGGTAAGTTTGAAAACATTTTTGGTCATCCTGATGAACTCCAGTAGAAGTAACTTTGGAGTCAGCAGATAATTATTCTTTTTTCTCAAGAATTCCAATTGATTTTCAATATATATATATATATTACATATATACTATATGTATTACATATATAATACACACATTTTATGCATATGAGTCACAATTTACTTAATGGCAATGGGTCTGTTTTTTGGTATGTCTTTGTAGAGCTCCACAGTCCAAGTGGCTGACAGCTAGAAATCCTAGCACTGGCCTGTTGATTTCAGCATCTCTGAATTGCAGACTATCTAAACCCCCTTGAGCTGCTCTGTTGATCAAGGACATCCAAGCAGCTGTTCTAAAGCCCTAAGACCCTGCTCGGAATGCAATCTTTCTAACACCCTGCTGGAAACGTGATCTTTTTTCTTATCTGAAGAACTCCAGACTTCCACACGGCACCATGATGCAATAATGTCTAGGGTGAGGGAAATCCCTAACACAGCTGGGCTCTTGTCTTCAGGGCAAACAGTCTTCACAAGCCAGAATTGGACACTTGCCCAGAGAACATAGTACTTGATGCTGACAAACTATGTCAAGAAAGCCTTTGTTGTAGAGAACACATCTTAAATGCATGAGACACCAGCATACTTTTTCCCCTTCCCACTCAAAACTGCTGGAGGCCTGTTTTAGGAAAACATCAGATAAGAACAAAGCTAAACTTACAGAACTAGGAAATTGCTCTCAGAATCGTTTCCTGAGAATATGAAGCTTTCCTGGAGGACTTTGTAATACTTAAATGTTTATCTTTATAGGTAGCTTTTCAGAAAATTAGTGATTGCACCATTAAGATACTATGCCACTGAATAATATTTTTAAGATTGAAAGCTTCAACTTTTCTTTCTCTAACACTCATCTCATCAGCCGACTTCAACTCACGGTGACCCTGCAGCACAGAGTAGAACTGCCCCTTTGGGTTTCAGAGACTTAAATTTTCATAGGAGTGGACAGTCTCACCTTTCTCCTATGGGGCAGCTGGTGGGTATGACCTGTTGACTCAGTGCTTAGCAGCTCAATGTGTAACCTACACCACCACCAGCACCGCAATACTATTGTGTACTTTTTATATAATGAGAGTAAATTGTAGATGTAGCCAAAGTATATATTTATATGTTAAGTATTAAGGTAGCAGATGGACATTGGGCCTCTATTCAAGTTCTCCCTCAATGCAAGAACACTTTGTTCTAATAACCTGGCATTCTGTGATGCTCTGTTTCCCGACACGATCGCTGAAGACAGCATGGGTGCATAAGCAAATGTGGTGAAGAAAGCTGATGGTGGCCAGCTATCAAAAGATATAGCATCTGGGGTTTTAAAGGACTAACGAGAAACAAGCAGCCATCTAGCTGAGAATCAATAAAGTCCACATGGAAGAAGTACACCAGCCTGTGTGATCCTGAGGTGTCAATGGGATCAGGTATCAGGCACAAAGACCCAGAACAAAAAATCATATCAACGTGAATGAGGTGGAGTGTGGAGTGGAGACCCAATGCCCATCCCTAGACAATTGGACATCCCCTAACAGAAGGGTCACCAGGAAGAGACAGCCAGTCAGGGTGCAGTATAACACCCCTAAAAAGTACAACTTTCCTCTAGTTTTTTCATGCTTCCTCCCCCCCACTATCATGACTCCAATTCTACCTTACAAATCTGGGTAGACCAGAGCATGTACATGGGTACAGATAAGAGCTGGAAACACAGGGAATCCAGGACAGATAAACCCCTCAGGACTAACAATGAAAGTAGCAATACCAGGAGGGTAAGGGGAAGTTGGGGGGAGAAAGGAGGAACCGATCACAATGGTCTACATATAACCCCATCCCAGGGCGGATAGACAACAAAAAAGTGGGTGAATGGAGACATAGGTCAGTGTAAGACATGAAAAAAATCATAATTATAAATTATTAAGAGTTCATGAGGGAGGCAGGGTGGGGAAGAAGGGAGAAAACGAGGAGCCATGATACGAAGGCCTCAAGTAGAAAGAAAATGTTTTGAAAATTATCGCAACAGATGTACAAATGTGCTTGACACAATAGATGGATGTATGAATTGTGATAAGAGCTGTATAAGCCCCCAATAAAATGATTTTAAAAAGAAAGAAATTTAACAGGAGTTCAGAAAAGTCACTGCCATCAAGTTGATTCTGACTGATGGCGACCCTATAGAGCAAGGTCAAATTGCCCCTGTGGGTTTCTGAGACTAATTCTTTATGGGAGTAGAAAGCCTCATCTTTGTCTCTTGGAGTCATTGCAGTTTCAAACTGCTGGCCTTTTGGATGGCAGCCCAACTCATAACCCCTGCACCACCGGGGCTCCTGAGGGGTTCAGAGGGAGACAGCAATCAGTGAAAATGGCTAGGTAAGAGACACGGGTCCATTTGTGCATTGTTTTCAGGAGTAAACTATTATGAAAGTGCTTTCCCATCCTTAGCACACTGTTTACTCCTTGAGACACATCTGGAAGGAGATTGGTGACAAGCTTCATCTTCCCTCTACTTTTCAGTACCAAACATAAAGAAAGGTCTTTATTTTACCCATGTTTCGATGTTGCCAAAGAAAATGTACCCTTCCTTAGAAAATACTCAGCTAGAAAAGTCATGAATTTGGATTAGGAGTGGGGAAAACAGGAAAAGAAAGCCTTTTCGTCCATGACTGTAAGGGAGAAGCTTGTGGTAGAAGAGAATATCTGAAACATCAACTTCTTCCCTTGTCTTTCAGGACAGTATTGATAGTACTTTATAATGTATACATACACATGGCAGTGTATTCCACTGACACAAAGCTCCCTAGACTCCTGGCCAGGAAGTCAATTAATTGATTCTGAAAATTTCATTATACTTTGGTTATCATGCTAGCATTAAGAACTTACTTGAGAGTAATCCTGCCCACCAAATCCATTCTTTGAGATAGGAATGCCCACCTTGCCCTAGAAAAATAATAAAAATAAGAATTAAGTTTTGGTTGAACAACATGATGAATATATTCAACATCACTGAATGATACATATGAAGATTGTTGACATGGTGTTTTCTTAGTTCTAAATTAGAGGAAGAAGAATTGCCCTCTAGGAAGGTTATTGAATGACAGTTAAGGAGGAGATCACAGTCTTTAGTCTCGTAACCTAATACTTGCCTTTAAAAAAAAAGGCTAACAGTACATATCATGAATACTTTCTCATATCCTTAAATTTTTAATGATTGAATGCTATTCCAAAATCTGAAATGTCATCATGTACTTAACCTGCATGGTATTTCATAAGGACGTGTAGTTTCTAAGGGGCACTGGTGGTCTAGTGAGCTACAACTTGGGCTGCCAGCTGTAGGCTTTCTACCCCGTAAAGAGTTAGCCTTGGCAAAACTCATAAGGGCATGGCAACTCTGACCTACAGGATTGCGATGAGTCAAAATCGACTCCTATTTAGACAGCATATAAAGTAATGCCCTGAGGGGAGCGGGGAGGGAGGGGAAAAATGAGGACCTAATGTCGGGGGTTTAAATGGAGAGAAAATGTTTTGAGAAATGATGTACAAATACGCTTTACACAATTGATGTGTGTATGGATTGGGATAACAGTTGTATGAGCCCCTAATAAAATGTTTAAAAAAAAAAAAAAAAGAAAAAGATGATGACAACATATGTAAAGATGTGTTTGACACAATGGATATGTGTATGGATTGTGATGAGCTGTAAGATCCCCCAATAAAATAAAATTTAAATTACAAATAAATAAATAAATAAATAAAGTAATGCCCTTGTATGTAAGCCGTGGTGTGTCTCTTTCTTCATTTGCTTAATGAAGTAACTTATCGAGGAAGTAAACTTATTAGGTTTCAAAATATTATTATGCATGTTCTCACCACCATCAAAGGACATTATCTGTACCAAAAAAAAAAAAAAAAAAGAGAGACTTGATAAATTGGTGGGCAACCCAAGAGGTCATGGTTATGCAGTCCGTATCTATCTCTTTGGGGACCAGTGAGGTAACATTTACTTACATATATTTATTGGCCATTTACATTTCTTCAGTCAATTTCTTATTGGCCTGAGTCTTCAATATCTAGTGATGTTATAATAGGTAGGCCACAAGCTAGTGGCTTTCACAAAAATCTATTCTCTCACAATCGGGGAGGTTAGGAGTGCAGTTTCAGGACACCAGCTGTAGAAGGTCTTTTCTGGGTAGACCCAGGGGGGGAGGGGGAGGCGGAAGGTCCTGGTCTACTTTCAACCCCTGAGGGCCTGGCATTCCTTGGAGATCTCTATGGATCTTGGAATCAATATCCCCAGGTCTAAAGCACATGATCCGCTCTTGGGTCTTCTTTCTCTATGGGTTTCTAAGACCAACTCTTTACAAGAGTGGAAAACCTCATCTTTCTCCCAAAGAATGGCTAACCTAATTCTATTGCTATCATTTGCTGATTTAATATGTATTGAGTGTCGAATGCTGACCTAGGCAAGGTCCTTGGCATGTGAATCTATTATGAATAGATAATAAAATCTACTGGCATTAAATTAATAAACAATAAATGTAAAGTTATAAATTGATCTAGTTGTCCTAAGTATAAGAAAGGGAACCATTAGTACAGAGGCAGAGACTACGAAGAGAGGAAGGAAAAGGAAGATCTTTCTGGTGTGATCAGTAAGCTCAGGGATGAGGGATGGGAAGGAATCATCAAAATGAGGAACAGCGTGAAGAGAATTCCAGAAGAAGACAAACCACCTTGAGGAGGGATAGAAGTTCCTTGGTAGATTCTAAGAAAAGCAGATGATTAGGAGGGTAACACAGATGGAGCTGGAGAGGTAGCAGGGGCCAGATCATCCAGGTGGTCAGGCATGTGAATTGTCTCCTGAGTGCAAAGAAATGCCAGTGAAGTTTCAGCAGGCATGCCAAACGATCTGACTTTGGAAACTAAAACTGCAGAATGAAGGCTCTGAAGAAAGAACCTGTGCCA